TGTTTACATGTGCTCGAGAATTATTTGCACAATTCATGTTTGGTGTATTTTGACGCACTATGAAGTAAGTATTTGTATAAGCATTGTAGGAAGCTTTAATAATCTTCAGATTGTCAATTTTTAACCTTGCAATTTATTGTCATATCTTCTTAAGTCAGTTTATTTCTGCAAGTTTTTGTCTATGCGTCAATTTGGCATAATGTAAAACATAGTTTACTTTCGAGTTCTGTCAATTATGTCTTGTTATCAGTATATTCCACAATTTAATAACATTTTATTCTGATAAGACAAAACAGTTATCATGTATCTATAGAGTATTTACCTGTCATTTACTGTTTAAGCCGAAAACCCTTCCTTTTCTTAATTTTCTATATTTGGCATGGTATGAATTATGGATTGGATTATTATGTAATATTAACTATTTTCTCTTTGTAACTCTTTGATTGTAATTTTACAGTTTTTACCCTCACTGGAGGAGCAATAAACAACTTTGTCAAGCAGAACTTCAGTTTGTTTAACGGCATAGTAAAAATTCATAGAAAGTCACATAGAAGTCACCAGGATGAGTTTGTCTGCAGACCCTATAAGAAGAAGCTCACGTTATAGAACATTGACAGTACCGGCTCAAGAGGAGTACGAAGTGAGGGTAGAGACATTTCAACGCAAATTGAGCAACATTAGGAATGAATGGAGGGAATGTTTCGATGAAATCGACAGATCAAGCAGTGACGCTAGTACCCTTAAAGCAGTAGACGAGCTTTTGAAGAAAGGCTTCGAGGCGTATGAGAAAGAGTCAAATTCTTTTTGTGAATACCTAAGAGCTACTAGATCAGAGGAAAGTGCAAATGAACTTGCATCGCATTTGTTGATTAAAGAGACTCTACTAGCAAAGATGAATGTGGCTAGAAGCAGGATTGAGCGGCTGATAAATCAATCAAGGATTTCTAAAGAAGAAGACCAAATGTCACAGAGGTCGTTTAGAGCGCTTACTCAGCGGACGATTTCTTCAAGTAAAGCTTCCAACCGCTCTATGGAGTCCATTCTTCGACAGAAAGAGGCTAAATTAGAAGCTCATCGCACCATGCTGAAACATCTTGATGAGGAGTTAGCACTTGAAGCACAACTGAAACGCTTTAGAGCACAGCGAGAGATGAAGATGGTTGAAAGTGAACTAAGTGTCCTAAAAGATGAGCCACGTTTGCGGGAGCTTGCGCCAAGTTTGTCGAGCAGGTCGAAGACTGAAGAATACTTAGAACTTCTTCCAAGGTACGAGGAGGAACGTAAAAAACATGAAGATGTAGGACAATTCTCCAAGACAAACAGTCCAAAAATTGATGATTCACAGAAAGAGGCTATAGTTATGTCCACACCAGCACAGCCTTTCTCTTCCCCTTCTAATGACAATGTCCCCGGGGCACAGTTGAACCCTGAAGCTCAACCGTTTGTACCACCAGGGAACGGACTATCAATGATCGACGTGTTCACAAAACACCTAGTTAAAAGAGACTTAATACTATCAAGACTCTCGACATTCGATGATAATCCAATGATGTTTATTTCCTGGAAGATGGGATTTAACGGCATAATGGAAGAGCTTGGGGCTACGGACACAGAAAGACTGGAGCTACTGTGTGAGAAACTTGGACCAGAATCTTCGAGGCAAGCTAAGACAATAAGAGCCTGCAACGCTAACAGTCCAAGTATAGCAATCGGGAAAATCTGGGAAAGACTAGAAAGGCGCTTTGGAGCTGCAGAACAAATTGAAAACTACATTCTGAAGAAAATAAAGGACTTTCCAGAAATTACCTCAGATCACTTTCATCTACTATACGACTTAGCAGATCTAGCATCTGAAATCGCATCATTAAAGAGCCAACCTCAGTTTGGAGTGTTATTCAGTTACTTTGACTCTAAGAAAGGTGTGAATGAACTTGTTGAAAAACTTCCATGGAACCTGAAGGACAAGTGGACTTCAGAGGCTACAAAATACAAGCGAAGTGCTGGAGTGACCTTTCCACCTTTTTCAGTTTTCCTCAAGTTTCTGGAAAATACGGCAGAAATGAAGAATGATCCCGGATTTCAGTTCGAGAAGAAAGGCGCCAGGAAACAGTCAAACTTCCAAGCACAGCAGCCAAGAAAAACTTCTGACAAGTTTTCTGTGAACAAGACTTTCCCAGTGCCTAAAGTACATGCTAGAAAGACAGGCAATTTCTACCAATGTGTCGGACATGTGTCCACTACATAAGAACAGTCAACATTCTCTGAACAACTGTGTACCTTTTCGCCAAAAGCCTATTGGAGAACGTAAGAAAATAATCTTGACAAATGGAATATGCTTCAAATGTTGCAGCGGCAAGAAGCATAGGGCCAAGAACTGTAAAGCAGACGTCAAGTGTAGTGTGTGTCAAGCATCATCACATCCCACAGCCCTTCATGAAGAAGACACAGAGACACAAGATTCTGAACAAAATGCTGTGAAGGACAAAAGGGGGGATCCTTATGAAGGGGAGAACGTACCCACTGTCTCTTCAGCCTGTACGAAGGTGCATGGAATGAGTAAGTCTTGTGCGAAGATAGTACCTGTTCGAGTTAGTACAACTGCTAATCCAAGGAAGTCAATGGTGGTTTATGCGATTATCGATGACCAGAGCAACCGGTCATTGGCCACTTCCTCAGTCTTCAACTACTTCAAGGATGATGGTGGTGATGTCCCTTATACACTTGTGTCCTGCACTGGAACAGTTTCGGCAACTGGAAGATTTGGTACTGGTTACACAGTTGAATCCCTAGATGGTACTTGTCAGCTGAAGTTTCAAGATTTGATAGAGTGTAATGACTTACCTAGTAATAGAGATGAAATTCCATCCTGCCAGGTCGCGACGCAGTATCCGCACCTGAAGTGCATTGCATCAGAAGTCCCCCCACTTATTGAAACGGCAAACATAGAACTTTTAATAGGGAGAGACCTTACGAGTGCTCACATAGTTCACGAGCAGATAGTTGGGGAAGAAGATGAGCCGTTCGCACAGAGGCTTTCCTTAGGATGGGTCATTGTTGGCCAAGTTTGTCTTGGTGGAGCCAACCTACCAGAAGTCAGGACTTTCAAAACATTTGCGTTGAGGAATGGTAGGCCCTCAACCTTTGAACCATGTAACAACGAGTTGTTAGTTAATGATAGACTGTTCCAGAAAACCGAACATGATGAAAAGATAGGACTGTCGATAGAAGACAGAGAATTCCTGAAGTTAATGGACACATCATTCGAGAGGGATGACAGTGGACACTGGGTGGCCCCCCTTCCTTTTAAACAGAATCGTCCACGCCTACCTGACAACAAACAACAGGCATTGCAGCGTGCGAAGTCATTCGACAAGAGCTTACAACACAACCCCGAGAAGTTTGAGCATGTCAAGGAGTTTATGGTAAAGCTGTTCAATAGAGGCCATGCAGAGAAAGCACCTATGCTCGAAGATGACGTAGAACGATGGTATTTGCCAATGTTTGGCGTCTATCATCCAAAGAAACCAGGATCTATAAGGGTTGTCTTTGACTCATCTGCACGCTATGAGGGAGTCTCCTTGAATGATTCCTTGATGAAAGGACCGGATCTTTCAAACAATTTACAAGGTGTGTTAATGAGATTTCGATTGGAAAAGTATGCTGTGATGGCAGATGTGGAGCAGATGTTCCATAATTTCCGAGTGAAGAGAGACCATCGTGATCACCTTCGTTTCTTGTGGCATCCTAACCATGACTTGAAGGCTCCTTTAGAGGAATTTAGGATGACAGTACATGTATTCGGGAATAGTCCCAGTCCGTCAGTGGCAACATTTGGGTTGAGGAAGTCAGTTTCATCTGCGGACCTGGACATTCAACACTTTGTCTCTCATAATTTTTATGTTGATGATGGACTGTTGAGCTTTAGTACTGTATCAGAGGCAGTAGATCTTCTCAAGCGCACTCAGGATGCTCTCTATGACGGAGGTCGTTTACGCTTACACAAGATTACGTCTAATTCGGTTGAGATTTTGCAACATTTCCAACAAGAGGACCTCAGCAAAGATCTCATTGGGCTCAACATAATGCAGGACGACTTACCGGAACAAAGGAGCTTGGGCATTGCGTGGAATATTGAAATGGACAAGTTCTTATTCAGAGTAAACAAAGAACCAAGGCCTTTCACACGACGAGGTGTCCTGTCTGTCATAAATAGCCTTTTTGACCCCATTGGATTTACAGCCCCAGTGACTGTTGTGGGGAAGATGCTTCTGCGGGATGCTATGACTACAAAAATTGGCTGGGACGAGCTACTCTCAAACAGCTTTCAGATCAAATGGGAAGGATGGGTAGATTCACTCAATGCTCTTGAAACAGTTCATATACCCCGTAGGTATTGCCAACTTTCCACACAACAGGCATCACATTTGGAAGTGCACATTTTTTCTGATGCGTCAAAGGAGGCAGTTGCTGCCGTGGCATACTTGAAAGTGTTCCACAAAGAACATGCGGAGTTAGGATTTCTTCTTGGCAAGGCCAAAGTTGCCCCCACACACGGGCACACGATCCCAAGGCTTGAACTATGCGCCTCGGTTCTGGCTGTTGAGATGGCAGAGATTATCAGAGAACAACTGCAAGTTTCCAAAGATGCCTTTACCTTCTACACAGATAGCCAAGTCGTCTTGGGATACATCTCCAATGACGCTAAGAGATTTCACGTGTATGTATCAAATAGGGTGAGCAGAATACGGTCATTCTGTGGCCCAGAATGCTGGAGATACGTGATGTCTGAACAGAACCCAGCCGATGTTGCAACTCGTGGTTGCAGCACCAGAGAACTCCCTTCGAGCAGTTGGCTTTTAGGACCTGATTTCCTGAGAAATAGCGAACAATGTGCAGATCAACCTCCAACCTATGACCTTGATTAGGAAGTTCGTAAACAGGTGACTTGTTCAAAGACTGCAGTCATTTCCAAGGGATCAGATTCTTCTCAACCCAGAAGTATGTCTACATGGTGTGAACGCTTTGAAAAATTTTCTACATGGGCAAGTTTGGTTCGTGCTATTGCGCGCCTCAAAGGACTTTTGAGTAGAACCAAATCTGACAAACCAAATACAGTCGCCCTAAAAGAAGATGCTGAACATTTTATTATTAAGCAGACCCAATATGACAGATATTCATCGGAGATCCTTGCAATCAAAGGAGGAAAACACCCACCACGGAACAGCTCTTTGATTCCCCTTAACCCAGTGTTAGACCAAAATGGCATCCTGCGTGTGGGCGGTCGAGTCAAACATATGAAGATTTCTGACGTAACTACACAACCTATTATTATTCCCAAGGACAACCATGTTGCTACATTGTTAGTACGTCACTATCATGAAGAAGTTCATCATCAGGGGAGGCACATGACGGAAGGAGCCATCAGAAGTGCAGGTTTCTGGGTTGTTGGATTCCGCAGACTTGTAAATTCTCTGATTAGGTCATGCGTTTTGTGCAAGAAATTGCGTGGGAATCTAGGATGGACAAAAATGGCTGACCTTCCCCTAGAGAGAGTTGAGCCTGGGCCTCCATTTAGTTTCGTAGGGATAGACACCTTTGGACCATGGCCAGTCGTTATAAAGAAAACTACCAGAGGTGTTAGAACTACATCCAAGTATTGGGCCATTCTTTTCACCTGCCTAGTGTCAAGAGCAGTACACATGGAATTGGTTGGAGATATGAGTAGTGAAGCTTTCATCAATGCCCTGAGACGATTCATGGCGATTCGTGGCCCTGTACGCCAGTTTCGTTCGGATAGGGGTACGAACTTTATTTGGGCAATGAAGGAGCTAGGGATAAGTGCAACTTTTGATGAAAGTGGGACAGTCCATGACTATCTGACAAAGTGTGGATCTACCTGGGTTTTCAACCCGCCCTATGCTCATCATTTTGGAGGTGCCTGGGAACGCCTGATAGGTTCCTGTCGTCGTATACTGGATGCTTTGCTGTTGGAGAACAGACCGAAGGACTTAAACTTTGATGTTCTAAATACCTTCATGAGTGAGGTGAGTGCTATCATGAATACTCGCCCTTTGTTACCCATTTCCAGTGATCCGGAAGCTCCATCTGTTCTCTCTCCGTCCATGATCCTTACACAGAAAGGACATAACTTCTCTACACCCATGAACGTTACAGGATTTGGAGATAAAGATGCTATGAGAAGTCAGTGGAAGTTGGTTCAAAAACTGGCGGATGACTTCTGGCATAGATGGCGGCTTGAGTACATCCACTGTCTGCAGACTCGCAGGAAATGGCAGTTGCCAGGGACAACTTTCAAGGTCGGTGATGTGGTGCTAGTCAAGGACGACAGTTCTCATCGAAACATGTGGCCGGTTGGTGTCATCGACGAAGTATTCCCGAGCAAGGACGATTTCATTCGAAAGGTCAAGGTCACCATTGTTCGTGACGACATTCGTACTTCATATGTGAGACCAATCACAGAACTGATTCATTTACTTGATTGTGAGTGATGTATTTGTTGTGCGGCCTATTGTGCATTTTTGTATGCCAATATGTGTTCAGAAATTTCCAAAGCTTTTATTTTGAGGTAAAGATACATTTATTTGTAACACAGTAGACAAGTGAACTATAATCCTTGTTACAACATTTGTATTTTTGTGTTTACAACATAAACCAAATGTATTTTTTGGATACAAAAGCAAATGCCTTTGAATTATGTGTAAGTCTTTATTTAGATAAATGGCAATTTTTGTGAAAATTGGAAGGGGAGTGTGGTGAATGCGGAATTGTTTTTCTGGATTGGTTTGAATTTTATTATAGTTCTTCCGTTGTTTACATGTGCTCGAGAATTATTTGCACAATTCACGTTTGGTGTATTTTGACGCACTATGAAGTAAGTATTTGTATAAGCATTGTAGGAAGCTTTAATAATCTTCAGATTGTCAATTTTTAACCTTGCAATTTATTGTCATATCTTCTTAAGTCAGTTTATTGCTGCAAGTTTTTTGTCTATACGTCAATTTGGCATAATGTTAAACATGGTTTACTTTCGAGTTCTGTCAATTATGTCTTGTTATCAGCATATTTCACAATTTAATCACATTTTATTCTGTTGAGACAAAACAGTAATTATGAATCTATAGAATATTTACCTGTCATTTATTGTTTAAGCCTAAAAACCTTCCTTTTCTCAATTTTTGTATATTTGACATTGCGTGAATTATGGATTGGATTATTATGTAATATTAACTATTTTCTCTTTGTAACTCTTTGATTGTAATTTTACAGTTTTTACCCTCACTGGAGGAGCAATAAACAACTTTGTCAAGCAGAACTTCAGTTTGTTTAACGGCATAAGCAGAGAAGAAGATTTTCAAAGAATTCATGTAATTCAATGAGCCCCCCCCCCCCAACACCAGAACCCTTGACCCTGGGGCCATAAAATTCACAATTTTGGTAGAGGCACTCTTGCTCATCATAACTATTTACTTACTTGGTTTATTTAATACCCAGGGGCCGAGAAGAAGATTTTAAAAGAAATCATGTATTTTTACTATATAATCAATAGAGCCCCACCTTAACACCAGAACCCCTGACCCTGGGGCCAAAAAATTCACAAATCTGGTAGAGGCACTCTTGCTCATCATAACTATGTACTTAGTTGGTTTATTTAATACCCAGGAGCAGAGAAGAAGATTTTCAAAGAAATAATGCATTTTCACTATATACTTATTTAGCCCCGCCCTAGCACTAGAACCCCTGACCCCAGGGCCATGAATTTCACAATTTTGGTAGAGGACTCAATGCTGATTACAACCATGCAAATAGTTTGACTGCTTGATGTCCAGGAGTAAAGAAGAAGATTTTTAAAGATTGCATTAATTTTAGTGGTTTTGGCCCCACCTCTCATCCCCCAGGGGGGCAGGGATCATGGAATTCACAATTTTTGTTCCCCTTTACCCGTAGATGCTTTGTGCCAAATTTGGTTGAAATTGGTTCAGTGGTTGCAGAGAAGAAGCTGAAAATGTTCAAATGTTAACACACGACACACGACGCACGACGACGGACGAAAACGGATAGCAATATGTCACCTGAGTTTACTCAGGTGACCTAAAAACTTTATCGAAATCTTGAGATGATTTGAAAAATATTATCGAAAAGTTTGATACTTTGAAAAACTTTATCGAAAATTCTGATACTTTGAAGAACTTTGGCGAAAACTTCGAAACTTTAAACAAGAGGCCCATGGGCCACATCGCTCACCTGAGTAACTTGGGTGATGCAGATCTTTTTTAAAGATTTGTTCTATATATATTTCTATGTAAAACTTTGATTCCCCATTGTGGCCCCGCCCTAAGCCCGAAGGTTATGATTTTAACAATTTAATATCAACACTACTCAAGGATGCTTCCACATAAGTTTCAGCTTTCCTGGCCTAGTGGTTCTTGAAAAGAAGATTTTAAAAGATTTGTTCAATAAATCTCTATGTAAAACTTCGATTCCCTATTGTGGCCCTGCCCTACCCCCGGGGGTCATGATTTTTACAATTTTATATCTAAACTACCAAAGGATGCTCCCACATAAGTTTCAGCTTTCCTGGCCAAGTGGTTCTTGAGAAGAAGATTTTTAAAGATTTGTTCTATATATTTTATGTAAAACTTGGATTCCCTATTGTGGCCCTGCCCTACCCCCGGGGGTCATGATTTTAGCAATTTAACATCTACACTACCAAAGGATGCTCCCACATAAGTTTCAGCTTTCCTGGCCTAGTGGTTCTTGAAAAGAAGTTTTTAAAAGATTTGTTCTATATATTTTATGTAAAACTTGGATTCCCTATTGTGGCCCCGCCCTACCCCCGGGGGTCATGATTTTAACAATTTAATATCTACACAACCCAAGGTCATGCTTCCACATAAGTTTCAGCTTTCCTGGCCCAGTGGTTCTTGAGAAGAAGATTTTTAAAGATTGGTTCTATATATTTCTATATAAAACTTGGATTCCCTATTGTGGCCCCGCCTTACCCCTGGGGGTCATGATTTTAAGAGTTTAATATCAACACTACCCAAGGATGCTTCCACTTAAGTTTCAGCTTTCCTGGCCCAGTGGTTCTTGAAAAGAAAATTAATAAAAGATTTGTTCTGTATATTTCTATGTAAAACTTGGATTCCCTATTGTGGCCCCGCCCTACCCCTGGGGGTCATGATTTTAAAAAATTAATATCTACACTACCCAAGGATGCTCCCACATAAGTTTCAGCTTTCCTGGACCAGTGGTTCTTGAGAAGAAGATTTTTAAAGATTTATTCTATATATTTCTAGGTAAAACTTGGATTCCCTATTGTGGCCCCGCCCTACCCCTGGGGGTCATGATTTTTACAATTTAATATCTACACTACCCAAGTATGCTTCCACATAAGTTTCAGCTTTTCTGGTCCAGTGGTTCTTGAGAAGAACATTTTTAAAGATTTGTTATATATATATTATGTAAAACTTGGATTCCCTATTGTGGCCCCGCCCTACCCCCGGGGGTCATGATTTTAACAATTTAATATCTACACTTCCCCAGGATGCTTCCACATAAACTTCAGCTTTTCTGTCCCAGTGGTTCTTGAGAAGAAGATTTTTTAATGACCCCACCCTATTTTCTTGATTATCTCCCCTTGGAAGGGGTCTTGGCCCTTGATTTTAACAATTTTAATTCCCCTTTACCCAAGGATGCTTTGTACCAAGTTTGGTAAAAATTGGCCCAGTGGTTCTTGAGAAGAAGTTGAAAATGTGAAAAGTTTACAGACGGGCGGACGGACGGACGACGGACACCGGGTGATCAGAAAAGCTCACTTGAGCTTTCAGCTCAAGTGAGCTAAAAACTTTTGCGAAAATTTTGACACTTTGAAAGACTTTGACAAAAACTTTGACACTTTGAAAATGTTTGACAAAATTGAATTCGGCAGAGATGTTTGTCTTCCAAAAAATATTTTAATTTTAGATATTTGCAACCCCCCCCCCCCCCCCGCCCCGCCTAAAAAATCAAATGCCTTAATGTCAGTCTGAACAGGGGATGGCATTTCTTCGTGTGTTAAAGAAATCTATTTCACAGAAAAATTGTATTATAATTAAGGTATCCGATCCATAATTCAATAAAAATTGATACATGGAAAGCATATGATATTTTTATTGAGTATTGATGATCACCCCATGGGGGATACAAAAACTAGGTCATCAAGGGCGATAACTCATAAGGACAGATAACTCTGGATGTTTTCAAAATTTGCAAAATCAGATGCATAAAATTCATAAAATGACAGAAATGTATTAAAAACAATAAAAGTCAAATTAAATACCTGTTGTATTTTATCATTTATATATAAATACATGCAATGCAAAAAATATTTTTCAACTTTGTGTTTAATCTATACATTTTCATAACACTAAATGTATTTCACTCAAATTTCAAGCTAATAAACCATAGAAATATCTGTCTCAAATATAAATATATAAATGTTTGCTCTGTTCCCAGTTTGTATTGCTTGAATGGACATCTGACGTTGATTATACAATTTTACACATAATAACATATCATTTGCTAAAATATGCACATAGTTTTGGAATACATTCTCCTAACACTTTTTTATCTGATGTGACTCTTGGTTTCCCTAAGCTATTTTTCATGGAAAACACATTAACCAGTCCATCTTCACCACTTCTCTTGAATATCAGTCTCAAGTGTCCCAGATTCAGTCCAGATCCAGCAATATTTTCTACCGTGCATGACTTCATTATTTTTTCACCAATAAGAGGACGAAGCGAAGCAACATTTTTTGATTTACAGAAATTAAATTCTTCTTGAATAAATTGGCATTCTGTATCATACGAATGTTTTATAAAGTCTGAAACAGAGACAAGTCCAGCTTCAATAATTTCATCTAGCATTGCAACATCATCAAGAGCATTATGGGCATTGTAAGCATGACCACAAAAATACTGTGCCAGAAACTCTTGCTTATACTTATCAAGTTTTGGGTACTTTTGTCTGAAAAGAGTAAGTGAGTCACAACATGCTGCAACTTTAGAGCAAAATCTCTCTTGTAAACCACATCTATGAAATGCTTTGCATAATACTCGAAAATCAAATGTTCGGCCATTGTGTGCCACCATTAGTATGCTGGGGAATTTCTCTAACCACTCCAAGAAATCCTCCAGTGCCGACTTTATTCTCACAAAATCAACTGGCTCACCATGGTAACATAGAACTCCACCACTCCAGGTTATGTTAGTGACCTTTTCCGCCATTGGTGTAATGGGCAGGTCTGGAGCCACATATCTGGAGAACTGCTCCTTTGTATTCCTATTTACAGCAGCAATCTGGGTGATGTGGGGCATAATGCCATGCTGAACTGAAAAAAATATGGATGCAAATTTTAATGGTAGTCCAATCTTATTTGATTGCATAGAGAGTATTTAAAATAAATATTTAAAAAAAAATATTTACTCAGGCCAGTGGTTTCCAGATCTAAAATGACAACATTTGGTGAAGGGCAGTGCTTCAATTTTGTGGAAGAGCAAAAGCTGGGTTTTGGTACAGGCTCAGGGATACTTTCTATATCTTCATCATTTACAGAAAGTCCTATTTCTAAAACAAAAAAAAATTCATAACAATACACAAACACTTTGCCAAATGCTGTATGACCTGATTGGAAATTTTGACCACTTTCGAATTGCGAAGTTCATAAAAAGTTTTTATAATATTTTTTACACAATGATTTTTGTCAAGTCTTTTCACAACTGACAGACCACACTGACTCTTTAGACGGGCGATAAGAGTGTTATCCCCATCACCTTCAATAATCTCAACTGGTGTACCTTGACTGGTCATTTCTTTCAGTGCAAGCAGTCCAGCCTCACTCTCCATCATCTTAGCACTGCCTCGGTGGTTCCAAACACATCTGTGAGACCTCATTCTCTGACCTGGCCTATTTCTTTTCCACCATTTGCATGTTGCACATGATCGATGCTTGATAACTGTCTTTAATACTTTGTTCCTTTTACTTATCAGGTAAGTATGTCCTGTTACAAATAAATACATGATTTTGTTACAGCCCATATCTAAATAAGCATTATAATTAATTGTGAAAATGCTGGAACAGTTTCAACAAAATACCTGTTAAGCTGTCATAACTTCTCTTTTGCCAAGCATGATCAGCTGCTACTGTCATTCCTGATCGAGTCTTTGAAGGGAATATAATTTTCTTTTTTGTTTTCGTGGATACAGTTCTGTCAACATCAACTTTTTTCACTACTGGCATTGGTTTGGCAGGAAGTTGAGGGGATGAACTATTACTGAAAGCAGGGTGACAACTGACATATCACACAGGTTCTCGATGTATGTGACTATTAGCTAAAATAGTACACAATAATACACAAATATTGATTTATTTACCTCTCCGCCAGTAAATCAAATGCTCCAAAATTGCATTTTTCAATGAGTGATGGATCTCTAAAAATAACACAAGATATTGATTTTAAAAATAAATTGAATCTTAGGAAACATTCTTTATTTTTTAATCAAATATAACAGGCTCAAACTTCAAATATTTACCCTTCAAATTCATCTTCAATTATTGCGACACCAAGTTCTTTATCATAGGAATCTGCATTTGAACTCATCTCCTGTGCTGCAACTTCTCAGAAATTAACCAAACATTATGAATTCTAAAAAAGTCAACAAAAAAATTAATATTAGGAATACAAAATTCAAAGTACGCTTTCATACGAGTACGAAATAATATTACATACAGGTATACATACCTCATTTCCTCTCTGAATGCTTTCTGACTTTCATTCCTCATATTTTCATCTGCAAATTTCTCAATCATCTCACCAGCTCTGCGCTCCATTACTTTAAGGTTTTTATTATTAATTGTTGGCAGATTGAGTGTGGCAAGAAAATTGTTCATCCTCTGTGGACCACCAACTGAATCAATCATTGCTAGCAAAAACAAATTCATAAATTTTTAGAAATCCATCTATCTACATAGAAGTTTTATATATCTCAAGAGACTTGCCTTATTTTGTTTAATTTTATAAACAAACCGAGTTTGGTATTCACGCAGAAGCTGGGCATTCCTCTTTTGCCTTTTACTTTCTTCTGTTTTTTCCCATAGGGTACTTTGTTTACATTTCCGCAGTAGGTGCATTGCACATATAAATACCCGGAAAGTCCCACTTTCATTTCTGCTTTTACTGTTTGGGGGGAAAGAAATAAAGGACCACAAAAACATTTATTACAGTTCGCAAGACCTTCAATGAGTATGTTAAATTCTACAATACGTCTTCCTTTTAGTTTCAAACCGTGCGTGATGATTTTCTTCGCTGCATCCAACTTACTTAGCCCTGGACAGCATACATCACACCCGTTAAAACTTGTACAGATATGTTCTGATGCATAATTATGTTCTTCGATCACAGTTTTTTTTTTGTTTTCACTGACTTTTGGCTTTATTCCCGGCTGACTTTTGAACCGCCCGAGTTTGTTCCGTCTTATTTTAACTGGCGCCATGACGGAAGTTGGCAGTCTCGAGAATTCTCGTACGCGTTATTTTTAGATTTAAAGCATGGGTTATATTTTATTCATATTCAATCGTTTTAACTTTTACTAAAAATAAAATAAATAATGTATTTTTTTTTAATTTAAAAAAAATTATAAGGTATGTTTAGTTTTCCGATCTTGTACGACATGTTCCGAAGTCGGCCGATTTGATAGAGGCGAATTGTGGATCGGATACCTTAATTGTTTTCAAGATTTGAAGTAAATAATTACCGTACATCAAATAACTAGTACTTGGTTTAGATTTGAGAGTAATACACTACAATAATCAGTTACTTCAACAATAAAATACTTTCTTTGTTTGTTGTTACTGGAATGAACGGAAGCAGCTGCAATCGTTCATTCCAGTAACAACAAACAAAGAAAGACATTTTATTGTTTATATTTTTATCTGTTTAAATTATCATTTTAAGTAGGATTAAAAATATAAATTATTGTGTTAATGTTGCGAACATCTTTGTAAGTTTCATTGATGGAACAGCAATCTGTACAGGTGATATGCCTAATGTAGTTTATGCAGGGATAATCTCAATGGGATTTCTAAAGAAATAAAGAACAAAATAAAGAACAAAATATTCAGTGGATGTAAATATAACTGCATGATAAATAAATTTTGCGACGCAAACCAACTGCAGACTAAATACATGACTTTGTATAGAATGTATATTAGAACTACATGTAGATAGACAATTCAAAATTATAGCTTATGAACAGCAGTTATCCCCCCCCCCCCCTTTCAGCTGCGCAAAAACCAAATGACTTCTCTTTCCACTTGTGATATTTCCCTGACCAAAATCTGATCAGCACGGACTAGGTGTATCGACGTGCTTGTCTGTACGGAGTAGTGACAGCGTGTTTACTATTGAGCTTTTCCGGAGTTTATTTCTTTTTTTATGCATATTTAAATAATAAGAATTCAGGGTGTATATCACATGGCTTGTGCACATCTTCGAACCAATGCAGTAACCTTATTACCAGGTTCATAAACGTTTACAGCGTTCGAGGCGTTTTCTCGATATGCACCTATTGCAGAGGGGGCTGAAAATCAAAGACGTTGGGTTTTTTTTTCGTGCCATTCATCTTATAATAATTTCAAAACGTGTTTGCAGATTTAACTGCTTTATATTTCAAGTTTATTCTGCATAAATTGGCACACTGAAAAAAAAACGTACTCGTGCATCTAATTTTTTCACCTAACTTGCATTTTAGCTCACCTGAGCCGAAGGCTCAAGTGAGCTTTTCTGATCAAAATTTGTCCGTTGTCTGTCGTCGTTGTCGTCGTAAACTTTTCACATTTTTATCTTCTTCTCAAGAACCACTGGGCCAATTTCAACCAAACTTAGCACAAAGTATCCTTTGGTGAAGGGTATTCAAGTTTGTTCAAATGAAGGGCCACACCCTTTTCCAAGGGGGGATAATCATGAATTTGTTAAGAATTAATGGCATTTTGAGAAAAACTTCTACTCCAGAACCACTGGGCCAGGAAAGATGAAACTTATGTGGAATCATCCTCAGGTAGTGTGGATTCAGGTTTGTTCAAATCATGACCCCTGGGGCAAGGGTGGGGCCAAAAGGGCCGACCAAGTTTTACATAGGAATATATAGAAAAAATCTTTAAAAATCTTCTTCTCAAGAACCACTGGGCCAGGAAAGATGAAACTCATGTGGAATCATCCTCAGGTCGAGCAGATTTAAGTTTGTTCAAATCATGATCCACCGGGCTAGGGTGGGGCCAAAATGGCCGACCTAAGTTTTACATAGGAATATATCGGAAAAATCTTTAAAAAACTTCTTCTCAAGAACCACTGGGCCAGGAAAGATGAAACTTATGTGGAATCATCCTCAGGTAGTGTGGATTCAGGTTTGTTCAAATCATGACCCCTGGGGCAAGGGTGGGGCCAAAAGGGCCGACCCAAGTTTTACATAGGAGTATATAGAAAAAATCTTTAAAAATCTTCTTCTCAAGGACCACTGGGCCAGGAAAGATGAAACTCATGTGGAATCATCCTCAGGTCGAGCAGATTTAAGTTTGTTCAAATCATGATCCACCGGGCTAGGGTGGGGCCAAAATGGCCGACCTAAGTTTTACATAGGAATATATAGGAAAAATCTTTAACCACTGGGCCAGGAAAGATGAAACTCATGTTGAATCATCCTCAGGTAGAGATTTAAATTTTTTCAAATCATGATCCCTGGGGCAAGGGTGGGGCCAAAATGTCCGACCCTAGTTTTATCTAGGAATATATAGGAAAAAGCTTTAAAAATATTCTTCTCCAGAACCGTTGGGCCAGGAAAGATGAAACTCATGTGGAATCATCCTCAGGTAGAGCAGATTTTAGTTTGTTCAAATCATGATCCACCGGGCTATGGTGGGGCCAAAATGGTCGACCTAAGTTTTACCTAGGAATATATAGGAAAAATCTTTATTCATAATGTAATAAATTTATATTTAGGAGTTTGCACCAAAATACTGATGTATGAATATTTTATTTCTGAATGAATGTCAGTCAAGATGGTCAGTGCCACAGTCTGGATGGACAGTCACTCTGTAGCTATACTATCCACCACGGCTTCAACAGTAGAAATGAGTGCCAATGCGTGTCGGCGGCTTAAAGATGGGACCGATATTACTGTTCCTCGACAGCAAAGTGTTGGTCATTACAGGCCTTTTTTCGAGGAGTTGGCATATTTGGCCAGTTACGTTCAAAATATTCCGTTGGACGACCCAGTAAAAAAAACGTTTATTATTTTGAAGGAGAGTGTGAATCTGCCAAAGAAGTACAGACAACTCGACTACCTCCTCGCCCTAGCTAAATTCCTGATAGGAACTATCAGGACACCGCCGAAGACAGATGCCAGGCAACTACTGTCTGAAAATTCTACAACTCATAAATTAATAAGACTGTCCTGTAAACAATCGTATTGCAAAAACTGTGCCAAAGCTGTCCCCAAAAAGAGTAAGGATACATCATTCGGGTGTGGACTGTGTGAAGTACATTTGTGCAGAAAACAGTACTTCGCTCTATTTCATAACATTGAAGAGTGAGCGTATATATGTGTATTGAGCTTACCTGTGTTTGCAGGGAAAAAATAAATGCCTATACATGTACATGGACATTATTAACGTTCTTGAACAAGATCGGTTGCAGTCACTTGAATCGATAAATTAAATGTTTTTAAGTAAATTTAAATTGAATTTCTCTAATATCAAGTTTCATTTTACAATTTTACGATCGAAAATTAAAAACAAAAATATCTTCAGGAAAATTAATCAAAAGAATTTTGATAATGCAAAATTCAAAAATCCCTTTAATATAGTTATGTAATGCTAGAAAAAGAAAGTTTCACTACATAATAAATCAAAATGGAAAACTGGGAAAGGGGGAGGGAGCGAAGGAAGTGAAAGGAATTTGGTCCAACTGAAGGACTTAGCTGTGCATCAAGTTTTTTTTGTGTGTCTGTGATCTATACCGATCATAATTCTAAATTATTTCTAGAATAAAAGAAAAATGTAGTACAAAAACATAAAGATTAAATGGAAATTTATAACTCTATAATAAAAACGCATGTATATACTCCTTTTATTTGAAAGAAAAAAAATTCCAATATCTTACAATAGAAAGCTGCTTATTAATAAGAATAATAAATAAACAAGAGGCCCACGTGCCTTATAGGTCACCTGAGCATTATGCAACATCTTTCCAGTTACAGTGTATTGATTCAATAACATGTTTTAAGCCAGATGCTATATGGCATTCACAATTTTGAAAGAGCATCATTGATCATCATAACAATAAACTTAGCAGTTGCTTAGCTTGGTTACTGAATACCCATATGCAGGGTAGGGGAACAAAAATGCACTCCAACTAATCAGTAATATTCATCAATAATCAGTAGTGCCCCTAACACTCTGACATAAGCCCCTGACCCTAGGTTGCACAAATGTTTAAAAAGCACCCTTAAAATTGCCTATCAAAAAGTAAATAAGTGTTTTATAAATACAAAGGGCCAGATTTCAAACAATTAATTCATTTCCAGTATATAAGTAGAGCCCCCCACCTCTGACCCTGGGGCCTTGAAATTCACAATTCTGCAAGATTAGGTCCCTTGCTCATCATATCTATATAGGTAGTTCATCTGCTTCATACCCAGAGACAGAGAAGAAAATTTTAAAAGATTTAATGAGCCGTTCCAAGCAAAAACCCCCCTTATGAAATCTGACAGAATTTTACGTCACAATAGAAAAAGCGACGTCATTGTTTTGCAACAAAAACTCTGATCAAAATATATCGCGCACTGACTGCGTCCCA